TATAACCGCCTTACATGAGTTTGGCAAGCATAAGGCCTTTGACCGGGTCTCATGGAAAACTAAGTTAATAGGATGTCCTACTGGATCGATGAACCCTTGCTTTGTTGGTTCAGGTCACATCTTACAAAGCGAACGTATGTGGTATAAATTCAATAATACAAATATGAACCTACACCTGTCAACAGTGGTGTGATAAAAGGAAGTGCCCTTGGGCCGCTACTATTCTTACTATAAGTTAACATCATCGACGTACTGAATTTCGGCACACCATACCTCTGCCGATGACATCAAGATTGTATATACTTCCCGTGCAGATGCCTTCAATTATGGTGTCAACGTGATCCAATTCTACCTCCATGCGCATGAAACCCGCTGGTCAAATGCCTTCCTCCGCTGACAAATGTTGTGCACTGTCCCACAAGTGTGAGTTGACTAACAGCGGCCTGACTCTTGACAGCAAACAACTTAATCGCGGTCATATGGTGAAAGATCTGGAACTGAAGTAATCATACTCATTTGACTTATGTGGACAATTAGGCTATGACACCACGAGGGCAAGACAGAACATTGGATTGATATTTAAGACTTCCTTACAAGTCAATAGTTCACTGTTATATATCAGTTGTTCTACCCATGCTGGAATGGAAACTGTAGCATAGTGGCTCATCAAACAAGGACAGAGTTAACAAAGCGCCTTCTAGGTGGAGGATTTCGGTGTTGCTTTCCCCATTTCTGCACTCCGCAACGCGTTTCGTCCTTGTGTGAACTCATCAGGTGGAGATAGCCTGATCTGGGAGTGAAACTCAGCACAAAGTTGCTGGTGTCAGTCCTAAGGTACCGAGTTCCATTCTCAGATCAGGCTATCTCTACCTGACGAATCCAAACAAGGAGTAAACGCGTTGTGGAGTCCAGTGATGGGAGAGAGCAGCACCGAAACCCTGCACTTCGGATACGGCCCCAGTAAACGGAATGGTAGAGGCTGACTTTAAAATCAACCAAGGCCACAATTGAGATAGCGTGTCGCAATCCAAGACACGGCGAATGCTCCAAAACCCGACAATCGCTATCAAGATGCCTCCTCAAAATTGTAGTATTTGGGGCGATATGATAGGCACAAGCTCTGGCTACGGCACATGAAGCACAACTTGGTCATATTTCTTAACCTATTACACAGAAAATTACGTGTTCCCAATCTCAACATGACACTGATGCAATCAACCGTCTACAACACATGACATAAACAGAACTCAGCGGTGGAATGCAAATCCAGGACCAGCAGATCAGTGGAGCTTTTCCTTAACAGGCACACAAGAGTCTGGAAAAGCTACCACCCAGAATAGGTACCTGCATTCTTGAACACGAATTAGGCAAAAGCATCAACTGTACAGAACGCGACCAGACTGTATGGTTGTTCTGTAATGAGCAACGCGTACGAGCAGGGTCCAAGTTCCATATAACCCAGAACATGTTTCGCCTCCATGCTCTCCCCTGTGAGTATGCTGTTTTATAATTAGGTATGTGAGAGAGCGGTTAAAGGCCAGTCAAAATCATTTCATTTCAGCCAACAGTTATGTTTTTGCTGTCATTCAAAATGTCATTATCGGATCTGATTTTCAATTTTCGTGATCCACATGTGATCAACGTTCTATCATGCTCATACAGACATGTCTCGCATCGTCGAGAGTAAACGTTTATTGATGATTCGTGTATATTGAGACCCTTCAGTTGAAGATGCGTAAATACGTAAAACGCTAGTGCGTCATCATCAGTATGTAATCGCACATCCAAAATTAAGCCGACCCACGTGAAAATTTAATCTGTCAGCCCAAAGTATATGGACAAGAGCACGGACAAATAGGCGTCCTCGAAAAATGAGTGACCAGGATAATTAGAGCGCAGGGTCTCAGGCAATTGAGTGCTATCGACCCGGGCAGTCATCATCAAGATCAATACACGTTAGCAGAAAATTTTCCGTAATACGAAAAGCAAGATATTAATCAATGTAGGCATAAAAGCCCTAAAAATAAACATAATGCTAGTACAGTAAAATATCGCTGTAACAAACGCTGGTATAACGAAGTACTCAGAATTGGGAAATTATTTTAGGTCTCTTTCCTTTTCCTTATTTAATGTGTGTTAGAACATTTCAGTTTAACGAATTTCGAGCTTACAGTGTAAGGAGTGAAAGTTTGGTCTTTTTGCCAATATGTAGATGTATTATTTCGAAATGTAACTGAAATTCATCCTGTTTTATAATATAAATATTATACTTCTTACGTCATTTTATTGTACAGATGATATGGTAACCACTTTTCTTACATGTACGCAATAAGTCCAGCAGGATAGCGATTTGAAAGTAACCATTGCTTATTTCATTAAATAAGCTTTGCACATCTTCCAACACAAGATGCAGCACTATTGACAAAGTATGAGCGCGAAGTTTAAAATCAACCAATGAATGGTAGGAGTTCATATCTCCGCCTTCCCATTTCGTTTATTCACGTCGCATCATGCGCTCATTCTTCGTCTTCTTGTTTGTTCCGCAGCGTGTAAAGATGTGTGCCTGTTAGCTTTATAACGGTAATATGGATAAAACGAAGCGACAGCAGTTTTCGTTGGAAGAAAAAAGTGAAATACCTCTGGAAGTGGGGAAAGGAGGAAATAAAGGAGATAGCGAAGAAGTATGGCATTAGCATTTCAACACTATCTTCTTTTCTAAAAGCAAAAAGATAGAGCAGAATATTGATGCCGATGCCCTTGGCCCACGGCGAAAGATGAGGACAGTAGACTACGTGGTGGACAAAGCAGTTCATCCGTTGTTTGTTGAAATGTAGGCCAAAAACACCCCTATAAATGACGCACTGTTAAGCGAGCATGCGCGATCCTTCGCAAATTCGCTTGGTTTTGAGGAATTCATGGGGAGTACTGGTTGGCTTCAAGGTTTCAGGAAAGACATGGTATTCCCACAAGACAATAAAAATGGTGAAGCTAACGATGCCCCAAAGAAATTCGCGTCTTCTTGGCTGCTGGAAACCGTAACAGCTGCGTTGAAAGAACATTCGCCGGAGAACATCTATACTGCAGATGAGACTGCATTATTCCATAAATTAATGTCGAACAAAACCCTTGACTTCAAAGAAAATAGGTGGATGGACAAACTGAAACCTCTCACAACTGGGAAGTTTGGGAAGCCGAGGTGCTCCAAGGGTGTGCAACATCTTCCCTGTGAATACAGGCACAGCACCAAAGCATGGATGACACCCATGATGTTCAAAAAGTGGCTGTACTGTCTGGAACATTGAATGAAGGCCGAAAAGAGGAGAATTCTTTTCATTATTGACAACTGATCCTGTCATAATTGTGCACCCCTCCATTTGGAGCATTTGACAGATTTATTTTTTTGCTCCAAACACGCAATCGATACTGCAGCTGCTGGATCTGGGATAATTCGCACAGTAAAATGACATTACCGAGCTCGAGTGGTCCGGTGTATGCTGTGAAATACTGTTCCGGAGAGAGACATTAATGTTAACATATTGAAAGTAATGCAGAAGTTCAGTGCTGCGTGGAGAGCACTGAAAGAACTCATCGCAAACTCCTTTAGAAAAGCTGTAGTGGTTCATGCAGAAGAGGACAGCACAGAAAGCGGTATGTTGGATGACGCAAACAGAGGAGAACTGGAAGCGTCTGTGCGAACAGTTAAATGTGCCAACTAGCGTGAAACTTCATGACTACGTCCACGTAAACGCGGATGTGAAAGTGCAAAAACAAATCACTGATGATGAAATTTTGGCAAACAGTATGAATGATAGAAATCCTTTTGATAATGAAGAGGAAGAAGTGCCACAAAGTGGCCGACTGAGTTTGACTCTTGTGCAGGCAACGAACATGGCACGTAGTCTGCAAGATTTTCTTTTGTCACGAAATGACGTGCCAGAATTTGTTAAATTCATGTGCGGTGATGGTGGTGACTAACTTGAACGGTCGATTATGTCTGGTAGCGCTTAGAAAAAATCAGACTTTTTCCTAAAAAGGAAGTCCGGAACATTGTGTACAATGTAAAATTTTGATTTGATGAAAACTTACAGAGATACCTCTCGCAATTACAGTGCGTCATTATATATATGCTAATTTTCGTCTCATGTAATAAATATCAAGCCCCTTGTCTTTAAATTCATGCTGAAGTAACGTAGATTCTGTACTGTATATGGCAACAGGTGAGTTCTTGAGAAGTGACTTATTTCAGTATAAGGAAATTGCAATATAACAAATTAATTTCGGAGGTCCACAAATTCACGTTATACTGTATTTTACAGTATAACATTTCTTGATAATTGCTGGAATGGGAAACCAAAGAGAAAGGGAGGGACAAAGAGACTCATAACACAAACGCCACTGAGTTCGACTCTTCGCCTGTCAGCTAGTGTATCCAACCAGACGTGTTCATCGGCCTTCGGTCCCTAGCCAGACAGTCGGGAAACACCAACCGACTCCAACTACTAATTGAGGAACTTCATTCCTCTCAACCAAGTCATCGCTTGGCTTCCCCTCCAGTTCGTCCATCCACACGCCAGGCGCGAAAACAACGCACGTTGCGGGAGTCAGTGGGTTGGCATGCACAACCACCCAGGCAATGTTTGTCCAGCAAGGCAATAAGTGAAGTCGATGTTGGATCAGATCGACTTGCATCAGCAGTACGCCGATACGCAGTACCAACGCTTCGCTACCGCGTAACCACCACAAGTTGCACGTGGGCTAAGGATAGTGTGAGGGTCACCCTGTCCCTACACAGGTTCGAACCTGCACCATCAGATTATAAGGCAAGCTTGTTACCTTCAGGCTACAGAGTTAGTTATCGTGGTAAATATCACTAGCTTTGAGTACCAACCGTTCCACTCATGTACGAACTTTCTTGCATACTGCCTGGCACGCACTGCTTACGTGTCCACACCTATTGCATATATATTTGCGGCTCCCAAACGTTCTTATTCTACTGGGGCGTTTGTATGGTCTACTGTTAGCTCGTTACCGCCCGGCTTGAATACTACTGACAATTAGCGCAGTAGTACCCGCTTCGAGCTACCACGGAATGATGGCACTACTCGAGCCTTTATTACAAAATAAGCAGTAGCAAACCAGAGATGCCCCGGCGTACAGTGACCTGATATGGTCCGTGTGACGTTTTATTGGTGGGCCAATATTCCAACCACAATAGCTGAACACGGGTAAACTGAGTTAAGACAGTCCCGAGAAGCTTCTGATGCAGAAATGGGGATTGAATTGACACACGGCAAAAGTCGCTTACAATGAAATGGGATTGGTCTAGGAGAAAGACAACAAAGGGGTAGACGCATAAAACATTTACATTCTGAATGTTCGTGTTCGTGCAACCGTCCCACATGCATAGCGAACGATAGCAGTTATAGCGTTAACAGCTGGGGGGAAAACTAGATCCGGCCTAGGCAGAGAGTGGGGAAGATCCGTCTGAGGATCTCATGCAGCCAAGGACAAACGCGCCATCAAACAGGATAAAGCAGAACAAGTTTCAGCGGATATAAAGGTATGAGAAAGCAGTGGGGCTACGTAATGATGACGGGCATGCATCGTTGTCGTCGTTGTACGGGGAGTGAAATTGAATGAGACTCTGATTGACACAGTGATGAACTTGATCAAAGTGAGCCGCGTAAGATATACGCAGTAAGTGTGTACACATACAATGCGATATTGACAATTGAAGACAATTGAAGAGAAAAACCAGCCCAAGTAGAGAAAGAAATCAATCAAGCGTCCGTTTGCGGCGAGAGGGACATAGTGAGGGGGTGACGCAGAGAGACCCTACCAGGATGAAAGATGGTACAAGTGAACATACTTTTCGCACGAATGCAATACGCTCAGATGCGTAGCACACGCAAACACACGTAAGTATACATAGATCATGTGAAAGTAACACGTCCACAACGGTCCAGGTACAGTTGGCAGTTCCTCGTGCATAGTACCTAGGGGGGTTGAGTAGAGTGCGAAAACCAACAAGGAGTGGAATGAAAGGCAAACACCACTGAAGAAGAGAGAACGGACAGAGCGGTTAATTCACATACAAACGCGCTAACCACGGCTGCTCCTTCCAGTGGGGGACGAGGCAGGGAACACAGTTCAGCGAACGCGTCACAGTGAAAGATGGAAACGCCGGGCGCACTGGGGCGCAGGCCGCACGAGCTTAATCATCCTCTTCGTTGCAATCCTCGTTCACTTCATCGTCACTGTCCTCCGGCTTCAACTTGTTAGTGCTGCGATCAGAGTTAACGTCCAGGAATTTGAAATCGGCGGTCGCCATATCGATGGCCCACTGGAATTTCTCCCGTTGAGTTCGGTTGTACGTTTTTTCTATTGGGATACCGAATCGTTTGCACCTAAACAGTACAACATTGACAAACACTAAATTTGTGCAAATAAGCTAAGCTATGAAAAGTAAGTATCAAAAACCCAGTTCTACTCAGAAGAACGTGTTGGTCTGAGCACGTGATTTCGCGCTGCGAACTAATCGGAGACCTGATCCGCTGTGGGGTTTGGGCCATCTAAGCATGAGGTGAGATGTCATACGACTGGAAAACAAAAACGTGATGCACGGTGGATAGTGAAGTACTAAACCCTAACGGAACATGTTAGGCATTGAATAATCCGAAGGAAAGATGAGCGGACGTAACAAAACTCAATTCTTAAGGGACAAGCGCTGATTCGGAAAAGTCAACTCAGAGCAAATTACAGCGTGTTTGGATCGCCGAATTCTATTCGATCCCATAAACGACGAATGGGCCGACGATGCTCCTCCTTTAGCTCAGTGGAACAAACGGTGAGGAACCCTCACAAACAATGTTCAGCGATCAAAGCCGTTTGTCGCACTCCTGATAGGTGTTATCAGGACAAGCATTTATCCACCAAAGTCAAGTAGGCGAAAATTACAGCATGTTTGGAAAGTCAAACTTATCGATATAAGTTGCACGTTCAAGTCCATAACTAATGACCCTTCTGAATCGATGAGGTTCCTCCTTTGATCCAGTTAAACAACAGACGGTGAATCACTCACAAATATCGGCCAATCCGTGTCCAGTAAGCAAATCCGTTACGCTCTCCTCCCATTGGCCGTCTGGCTCGTTCGGTTGGTCCATCCGCTCACTGTGATCTGACACTCCCATCACAATAGGACAACCCCATCACACGTGATACCATCAGAGGGGAAATAGGTAGCCCGCATTAAGCGGGGTAGAGAAGTATTTGAGCAATTCCACAATAAGATGGCCAGTAACAATTGTGGAGAAATCGTTTAAATCAATGAACCACAAAAAACAGACCCAAATACCAATGAGTGGAGCATTCATAGCTGTACACTAAACAAGGCCAAGTATGATGCGATGTGTTATTCAAAACAAGCAAAGTGTAGGACACTTGTTAGAATACGGCGTGGAACAGAATAGAATTGACGTAGACAAGTGTAGAGAATTACTGATGCTAATGCAGCCTGGATTCGGTGTTATCAGACGCTCTACACCGTAACCCCTTCAGAACGGTACGGGTCTTTAGGGAAGCGCCCATTTCAAACGCTCAGCCAGTGCTCTGGGAACTACAGATAAGGTAATGCTGTTCGCGATAAAGACCTGTGATGTACATGAAAAGGCAAATGGCAACGACAGTAAAACATCACATCACGACATTGCAATCATGTCAACTGTCCGCCGGTGAATCGAATGTTTTAGAATCCATCACTGCGCTTCACGATTGGGTTCATCCACATATGAGCACTAGAAGCATAAATTTAATGGACTCTTATACGTCTCGATTGGTCAAATTCAAAGCAAATCGCGGTCAATATTGAGGTAAGGACTCGTACGAGAGGTATAACAAAAGACTGATAACGAATTGAAACCACTCAGGATTGATCGACAGGGTCCAAAGAAAAAAGGCTACGTAGGGACGAAAGAAGTAGCATGACTTATTTAAGTACCAGCGTAACGTACCAGGCAACGGTAATACGAGGATCCAAATAATTCAGCTTGCTCGTACTCAATGCGATTTCTTTGTTTTCATCTCTGTCTGTGGCCTGCAGTTGTAGTTTCGATAGCTGCTCCTTCGCAGTGCTTAGACGCTTTTTTAACTTCTCATAGGCGACCTTTTTAGCAACATCTTTGCGTCGCTTATAGTCTGCTTTGATCTGTTTTGCTTCGCTTGTGATTTCCATAATTTGCTCACGTTTTGCATCGATCTGTGAAGGGAAAGAAACTCCTAGAGTGAGGGTGGCTGGCGTAACGTGTTTCCTGAATGTGCAATCACTACACGTATTAGTGAGGTGAGAAACACTTCACCATTTGTGCCGTAGTGCAGCACAATCACACAGACACAAAAGAATGAAAGACAAAAGCAATAGGCTGATAAGTGCTCATAGACGTCTCGCAGCGGAGAAGAAAAGCCAGTGTAATCGAGATTGGGTTAGTGACGACCCAGAAGAGTGGTCAAGAATCGTATACACAAAGAAAATAAAAGGTTATATTATGATAACAATCCATGTTGGCAATTGGTGAAAGTGATGGCCACGAAGTGATCGAAACTCTAGTGGCCAACTCATCGAAATCCGATGCCAAGCGAAGAGGGGTGGAAATAGTAAACCCGAGCAAGCTCAGAGAACGGTAATTTGAATTACGCAGCCGCATAAACGAAATTGTTGTGCAGATAAAACGAGGCAGCAATGTGGTCGCATCATCCCGTACTAGGTCTGTAATTACTGTGACCTGAGATGCGGTTAAGTCAAGCTCACATTAAGCGTGTAACGAGTACCGCACCAGCCACAAGAGTAATGCAGGCCAACGCAACCACCACACGGTGGGCTTAGAGTAACGCATGGGAATACCAGTGAGCCAGTACAGTTTCTTAATTCAGAAGAGCTTGTAGCAACGGTTTTCCACCACAAGAGAACTCTTGTGCATGCTTTCTGTCAGGAGGGCTCAGACGGGAATCAAACGAACAGTCAGTAATACTGAATAGAATCCAGTGGAGGGAATAGGCCCTGTTACATCATGGGAATGTGTATTTCGCTGTTCAGTGATGCAAGCATGCGTATTTGCTCACACGAGAGGCCGGTGTAGTATCACCAGACTAAATGGCTCGGGGTAGGACGATTGCGTGTTGAGCGTGTGGCCCAAGTCAGATGTGTCTGCTGCGCAGTAAGTGCATGTTCAACCAAGCGGACAGCGTCAGCTCATCCGTTTCCCTTTGGACTCCTCTTGTCTTGCTAAGACTGGCATGCCTCAATGTGCGCACTTTGCTTCAGATTGGCCAACAGGCAGCACTTGACCGCACACTAGAGACCCAACCGATCGATATTTGCTGTTAAGCAGAAAACCACGTGCAAGATTTGAGCTCCGTGCATACTCTGCGATCCCCCACATGCGACAATGACGGCACATTCTTATTGCGCCTGTCTGCGAATGATGCCGCCTCAAATATCGCTCAAGCTTGCGTCGGCATTGTTTTGGTTCCCCGGGCTGAGACAGACCTGATCGTTTGGATCCCAGTCAACACTCTGATGTGCGTTGTTCGATTAGCAGGTTCGTTCCGTGTTACGAAGTCGCGCGGGAACAAACGGTGCTTGTTTGTCATTGCGGCCTACGCCCCTACAAACTCTAGCTCTGATTCGGTGACAGATGATTTCTATCAGCAACTTCACGATCTCCGTCGCTACAGAAGAAGCACGGATACTGTGGTGTTGGCTGGCGATCTAAACGCCCAACCCGGAAAATTGTCCTCTGATGAGCTTCATCTGGGCGAGCAACATGGTGTAGGCTCACGTAATGAGAACGGTGAGTGATTGCTACAGCTGTGTGAAGATGCTCGCCTCTTTCTCGCGAGCACTAACTTTCGACACAGCACCCGCAGAAGCGTGACTTGGCGGCCACCAGCCTCGGGCCAGCCATGGACGCAAATCGATCATATCGTGATCAGTTACCGCTAGCGAGGCTGTGTCCAAAACTGTCTCTCGATTTGGAGCACGAGCGTGGACTCTGACCACGCACTTGTCTGCGCCGACCACCTGGTGCGTTTCGGTGGACGTCCGCAACGTCGATGTGAACGGATTGACACAAGCCAGTTGGCAAAAACAGGTGTTCTGAATGTGTATCAAAGTACGCGGACATCCGGACTGAGAAAGCGCCCAGCGAAAACCGGCGAAGATCACTGGTCGCATATTCGTAAGACGTTACTATCCGCAGACATCGTCATGTGGCAAAACAAATTGCCAAAATGGACATTCGGTCTCTACACAGTCTCTGGAACTTATGGATGCTCACCGGCGTATTCCGGCTGGAAGCGAATACAATGACGCTCGCAAAAATCTCAGGGTAAAATTACGTGCAAGCCTGAAGAAACAACGCGAAGCCTAGTGGTCTCATCCTGCCTCTGAGGTGGAAACAGCCGCTACCGTTGGTAATCATCGTAAGTTGTTCTGTCTGGTACGGAAAACAGGTAGCAGGCGACCTGTTGTTAGCGGGACAATGTGCGACGAGAGTGGGCAGCCGATCCACAACCTGTCAACGCTTGGACCGTTGGGCTGAACACTTTGCCAGGCAATTTAACCAACACGAGTTATTGCTTTCTCTTTCGAACATTGAGTGCCCTTCTCCTTGGTCTGTCTCCTTGGATCCGCCCTCACGCGCAGAAGTCTAACGTGAGATCAGGCTGTTGAAGTTGCATAAGGCTGCAGGAGCAGATAGAATTCCCCCAGCCCTCTTCAAATTCGGGGACCTGCTCTAATAGCTGATTTACACGAGTTGCTAGTGAAACTTTGGGAGCAGGAGACTGTCCCGACAGACTGGAGCCGCTCAGTCATTGTCCGAATATTCAAAGGAGGCTCCCGTTCGGAATGCGGCAACCATAGAGGCATCAGTCTGATCTTAATTGCTTCTTAATTGCTTGTGTCTGTCATTCTCCACAGACTGACTGACATTCGTGAAAGCCAGGTTCGTGAAGAACAAGCCGGGTTTCGTCGAGGTTGGGGCTGCATCGACCACATCTTCACTTTGCGTCAATTGTTGGAGCACCGCCATGTTTATTGGCGACCCACCGTTGTCGCGTTTCTTGACATAAAAGATGCCTTCGACTCAGTCAGTGGATGTGCCCTTTAGGACTGTCTGCTGAGGAAAGGTGTGCCTGATAAATATGTAGACATTATCAAAGCGCTGTACGCGCATAGTTCGGGCAGAGTGAGGGTTTATGGCAGACTGTCGCCACCCTTCAGTATCACCAGTGGTGTGAGACAACGTTGCCCGCTGTAACCTTTCCTCTTCAACTTCGCTACTGATGAAGTCATGGAAACAGCGTTCGCTGGACACGACCTAAAAGGTGTGAAGCTACTTCCTGGTGAGCGATTTCTTGACTTGGAGTAGGCAGATGATATGGTCCTATTCGATGACAGCTCCCAAACATGTCAAGCAGCACTGGTCCGATTAGTACTGGCTGTCTATCGTTTTGGGCTGTGCTTTGCTCCATTGAAATGGAAAGTATTTCCCCAAGATTATATATATATATATATATATATATATATATATATATATATATATATATATATATATATATATATATATATATGTATGGTTGGCGGCATCCGGTTTCCGATTTGCCTGTCACTGTGGCCAGCCACAGGACTCATCCGCCTACAGAGGGACCATGGGCGGCATGCGCTGCACCACCCACAGCTCCAACCACACACCCCATATCCAGTGTAAACCCGAAGGAATAAGACCGGGAGGCACGTGGATGGGAGCCACGTTTCATCAACGGAGCCGGCCCACACTCCTTCACAGGCAAACACGGCCACAAGGACGGTGCACCCCGTCCCCTCCAGCAACGACCAACTGTCTCCTGGAGCCAGTATGGACGAGGTAGTGGGTAATAGACAGGTAGGCACCTTGTCAACATGCAAATCAAGCGCAGCCACACCGGGGATAGCACGCAACAGCCAATCACTTGAAATGACAAAATGAAATAACATAAATCCAATAATGCACACAGATAGGGTGGCATAACTCTTCGCTAAATTATCATATGAAGTAGGTTGGTTAGCAATGAATCCGCGATAAGGAAAAAATGTCCACAAGTTACTCAAAAATGCTACAAACGCAACAAAATAACCGAAGATAAGCGCAATTAGCGTAAGCGACGTGGCCAGCTAATAGAAGACTATTCAGATAGGCAAAACTAACCAAATAAACTGGAATGAAATTTATGCAGCTTAAAGAGACCTAGTTTAATTGTAAGTTGGTTTAGCCCAACTGCGGTGAAGAAGCATCATGAATGCAACATCAGCCTCAGCATTTGGCACAATATATATATATATATATATATATATATATATATATTTATATATATATATATATATATATATATATATATATATATATATATATATATATATATTCGCAGCCTGTTAACAGACATTGTGCCATCAGAACCATGGCAGAAGAAAAAAGTGAAGAAGATGGGAACGCTAATGGAAAAATATGGGAAACGATTTTTTTGGTTTTACACACGCTATTTTGTATTTTTGTTTTGCTTTGTTTGTTTTTGTGTGCATCAAAGGTGTGGTGAAATTGCAGAACATTGACGCCACTGATGTCTGTTGCAGGCCATGACGTCTAATGTTTCCAACCACTGCGATTCAGCATCTCGTGGTCCCCAACCTGGAAGTCGGACTCTTCCGACTGCCGCCAAACTTGAGATTGCCTTCTTCATTCTCCTTCTCCACGTCATCGGCTGTCCACCGCGGCACTTTTTTAATCGCTCCCTGGGAGTGCAAATAGCGCTCGACGTGGAAGGCGATGGGCTAGCATGCGCAAAACGTGACCAAGCCAACGCATGCGATGTCGGAGAATAACGTCCTGAAGACTGGCACTATACGCCCCAAGCACGCGGTCTCGCACCTCTGATTTGGTTACATGGTGTTGCCACCACACCCTAGCAATCCTTCGTAGACAGCGATTGTCGAAGACTGACAGCCGCTTCATATCTTCCGAGCGAATAGGCCAAGTCTCACAACCGTACAAGAGTACTGCACGGACGGAAGCATTGTACACCCTGCCCTTGAGCTTTAGACTGACATCACGATGACGCCATAGGTGTCTCAGTTTGATGAATGCAAGGCGGGCCTTCGCAATTCATTGTGAGACTTCATCTCCAACACCGCCACCAGCCGTGATGCAACTCCCTAGATAAGTAAAGCAAGGGACTTGCTCCAGAACATGTCCAGCAACGGTGGGCGCGGGTTCAGGCACCTGCCAATCCTGGAGCAGCGTCTTACATTTTCTCGGAGTGAAGCATAAGCCGTACTTAGACGCCTCCATCGCCAAGCGGTCCAAAGCGCTCTGGACGGTTTGTGAGTCGTCCACCAGTAAGGCGACATCCTCGGCGTAGTCCAACTCCTTGACTCTGTCTCCAGGGTGGAGCTCAACAGCGCAGTCCCGTACATCTTCCAGTGCTCCTTGGACGACATCTTCGATGGCGAAATTGAAGAGGAAAGGTGAAATAGGGCAACCTTGGCGAACACCGCTGGTCACAACAAATGAAGAGGAGTGCGTGCCGTAAGCCCTGACTTTGCCCGACGTGTGACTGTAAAGTACTTTCAGGATGGTTACAAACTTATCGGGCACACCTTTCTTCAGTAAACAGTTCCACAACGCAGATCTATCTACTGAATCAAATGCCGCTCGGATGTCCAAAAACACTACGATTGTTGGCCGCCGGTGGATGTGACGAAGTTCGAGAACTTGCCGAAGCGTGGAGATTTGGTCGATGCGGCCGCGGCCTGGACGAAATCCGGCTTGTTCTTCTCTGGAAACCTCTCTAGTCGTTGAAAGCCTACGAAGTAGGACCGACACGACGAACCATGGACTTACAACCACAACCATTCACCCGTTGTCTTGCTTCTCCAAGATTGGCATGGACCCAACCCTGCGCTAACGCTTTGTGGTGGTAAGCTAGAAGTCGTTCATGAATTCAAGTACATGGGTAGCTATATTAGCGCCCGTGGAATCGAAGATGAGGTTACGAGCCGTATAACAAAAGCTCGAGGTGCTTTTGCCAATCCCCGCCACCTGTGTCGCAGACGCGACATTACTCTTGCCCTGAAGGGCAGAGTTTATAACGCAGCCGTCCGTTCAACGCTTATATGGTTGTGAAACCTGACCCTTCAGGTAGACAGACATTCGATCATCGCTGCCTTCGCAGCTTTGCTCATGTCTGGTGGGAGCATCGCGTGAGCAATGAGCGTGTTCGGCGTCACGTATTTGGTGCAGGAAGAGCGAGTGAACCGCTCAGCACCAGGCTCCGATGGATGGGCCACGTGTTGCGCATGCCAGCACACCGACTCTCGCGGCGCACATTCTTTGCGCGCCGTGGGTGTGGTTTGAAGAGGAGGAGGGGAGCTCAAGCGATGACTTATTCGAGCGAAATGAAAACCCGCACTTCGAAGTTGGCTTCGGTTGGTGCATCTGGACTGCCTGGCTACGGTCCTAAGGTCGATGAACACGTTTGGTTGGACAAACTTGCTGACATGACTAGGAGCCGGCCCCATTGGCGTTTATGTTGTGAGTTCCTTTGTCCATTCCCTCCTGCTTAGCCTCCTCCTACAATCATGATGCAATAGTTTCACAAGTCTGTAGTACGCACTAGAAAAGGTGCGGAAACTTTTACGGAATTAAATCGTGCGGCTAAGTTTTTCCTTGGGGAGTAGTTGTTTCCCAGAAAAGTGGGACAAAAGATGACGTACCAAACGAGGCAGAAGGATACAAAACACAGATAACACCAGAGCGGATAAGGGCACAATTACTTCAGCAATTCCTTCGTTGCCTTTTACCTTTTTCTGCAAGTTTTCCATGGACTTAGCAAATGTTTTCGGTACCGCTCTCTGATGATTACACAACACGGCTACGGCACGATTCGCTCGATTGTAAGCAAGAAGCTTTGCCTGCGGTGAATCATTCGGGTCTGTGAGTAGCTCCAATTGTTCCTCTAGTGTGCGGCTCGCGTTGTAGGTACGGAAAACTTTCGCGGTCAATCCTTCCATTAACTCACGAAGATACTGATTCAGTACTGTGGTCTAAAACGAGTTTAAAATGAGAAGTGATGCCTTAATTGAAGCAACATACATTAAGTCTGTCGAATAGATCGTCATTTTCTTTCTTGTTTTTCAGAAAAAGCCTGACGTTCTTGAAAACACGCTTGGGAACAGAGACAGCATTTTGGTAACGGATCGAATCTTTTCCCAGAAAATCGAATTCGACGACGTAAGGTTTTCCGTCTAGTTCTTCGTGAAGTTTGATGTGCTCGAATCGCAAGGAGCAACAGCCGACAGTGTCTGCCTCGTCCTCGTCCTTTTCGTTGCCAGCACGAAGTGCCAACTATAGGAGCAAAGAATAGAAGGTAAGGCAAGAATGAGAGCGTAAAAGCAGCAACGAAACGGAGCGAGTTAGTGCACAGGAAATGGAATGTGTAATGACTTGGTATGCACAAACAAAACAAACTTGTAGAAAGAAACCTCTTGCTGCAAGCAACCAGAAGTGTATGAGAAAAGCAAGCAGCAAATCTAACGAGACCAAAGTGCAGTGATGACAGAGAACAACACTAAAACCCTCCACTTCGGATACGGTCCCAGTGATTGGAATGGCTGAGATTGACTTCAAATTCAACCGAGGCTCAACTGAGATTACGTGCCGCAATCCAAGACACACGGCGGGTCCTCCGAAACCCGAAAACGAAGTGCTTTTCTTTCCTAAATCGGTTGAATTTCTGTAGTAACGAGTGATAAACAGACGTGAAGATAGCTTGAATGAAGGTGGCCCTCCAAATTAAAACTCATCGGGATTTATTGTAAGAGTCCGGCACAAGGACTGGTTGTGAAGGCTTTTCAAGAGTAGCGAAATGCCACAGTATTCAAGATAACCACGAAAATTAGGAATTGCGATATTGTTTGGGCCCTACCTCGATTTGTGCAACTGTCTAGTTCAATAAGAGCACTCAGCTGAAAGTCTCAGTTAAATATCGACGTCCATTTGTGGTAAGACTATGGGTGCACACAAAATTCTGCACGCGTGGTGCAACAACCCGCTTAAATCAAGGTGACAGAATCGTAAACGGACAGAAAAGTGGGAAACTACCTGTATGTATGTATGGGACGACGGTAGGACTTTTTCTTGTGATAGGACTAGAACAATCGGTTGAGCAGATGAGGAAACAGATATCGCAACGAAAAAGTGGTTTCCGAGGTTGTTTTTATCACCAAGGACATGGTAATGCCCAGGAAGTTCATATAGTTTCCGTAGTTGGAGCGTTTCGGCCGACTGGCCGAACAACTGTCCAGTGAATATCCGGATAGTCCTATCCAATCCACGGACATCAATCGTTTATTCTCATATCACCAACGTTAACAAACAATCAGGAATGCAGCGGCATACATACAAGCACACATTACACATATACACAATTGGTTTGCGGCATCCAGAATCGGATTTGCCTTTTACTGTAGGCAGCCACAGAACGCCTGCGCCTACAGAAGGACCATGAATGGCTTGTGCTGCACCACCCACAGCTCCAACCACACACCCCATATTCAGTGTAAACCCGAAGGAATAAGACCGGGAGGCATGTGGATGGGTGCCACGTTTCATCAACGGAGCCGGCCCACATGCCTTCACAGGCAAACACAAGCACGCTGTATTTGGAACGCAAACGCACATAATACGGTGGCTGGACCGTAGTCCGCCCCACACTGAGTGCATGGAACCGCTCTTCGAGCCTAGCACGACCACAAGCACCGTGCACCCCGCCCCTTACAGCAACGAATAACTGCCTCCTGGTAGTGGGTAAAAGACAGATAGGCACCTTGTCAACATGCACATCAAGCGCAGCCGCACCGGGGATACCAAGCAACAGCCAATCACTGGAGACGACGAGATGAAAGAAAATAAATCGAATAATGCACAAACATACGGTGGCATAACTCTTCACTAAATGAGCGAAGAAAATATATTGGTTACGAACAAATCCGCGATAGGTTCAAGAGGACAGAAAATATATTTTAAGAAAATGACACAAACGGGAAAATGTTATGGAAGTTAACTAAAATAGTTTAATGTACGTGTGCAAGTCTGCGGAAGATAGTTAAGGTAGAGATTATTGTGAGATAAAAAAGCATTAGGACAATATAGAAAACCCACCATCTGAAATAAAGATTCAGCATACAAGCATGCGATTAGTAAACGGAATACAGCGTGCCTACAAATGCTGCGTCCGTTCTGCCTACATTCTCTACAGGATTCGTCGTCGTTTCGGTGTTGGCCCCGAGTGGTGTCGTTCATAGCTCACTAGGCCAGCCTGACTCAGGCACTCGCGACCGCATGTGCTACAGCACCATGCGCTCGATGTCGATGGAGTACAAGCCATCGGTGCTTGCCGCTTCTTCTCTGCATGTATGAGGGCTCTCTCCTGCACTTCGGCAACTGCCTTCGTGATTAGATCGCGCCATGCACGCCGATCAACCGTCTTCGATTCCCATGACCTGCAATCAAGATTAGAACGTGAGAGGCTCACTTTGATCATGTCCTGGTAACGAAGCTTCGGTTTCGCCACATGCCGCTTCCCAAAACTCAGTTGACCATACAATAGCTGCTTCGGTATCCGCGTCGAATGCAACTTATGAAATATAATGTTCCAAAGTTACAGGAAGTTAGAAGCCGAACTGCACACTGTCGGCTGTTAATCGGGAACCAGCCCAGTAATGTCGCCTCAGCCTTGACATTTAGTGCTAGACGTACACCAGCCAAACCCGTTGAGGCTGCTCCTGGATCTCCAGAAAGATGCAGGTTATCTCTGGCTTCGTGGTCAGTGGGGGTGTGAATATAAGCACAGTGCTGAGGTCTGGCAATCGCGCTTCTGAAAGACAGCAGACGTCCATATCGAGGGAGCCTAGGGTGTGAGCTAGATAGGCTTGCTATCCGAACTGCATCAGTGTCCGTACCTTGAACTACGCCAGAGGTACGAGGATCAGGGTCGAAGGAGAACTACAGGTTGAACATCATGGTTCGCGGCACAAGCGGAATCGCAGTCAGATTTTTGGACACATGAATGTGGTAACGGATAGCAAGAATTGTTATCAAACAATTAGCGTATGATGAAGACGCATAAATGTAAAAAGATAATGAGCACGTTGTAGAACAGTCTATGGTTTTGTAGGACGGTGTGACACTACTCGGTTGCCCAAGCCGAAGTAGGGAATTTACTTAGAGGAGCCTAGACTGATCCTTCGGCTAAATAGCACAAACGCAAGGCAGTGGGGCGAATTCAAGGGGTCACACTTACTGAGAGTCAGTGACTGATTGGTCACTTCATACTTTTTTGTTTATTCGGTTATGAAAACAGGGGCCCAATCCCCCACTTTCAGCAATAGGGTGCTGGAATACAGTGGTTCACTGTAGTGAAGCAATCGGTGGTGACTTTAGTTAGTGGGGTCATATTCACCACGTCGCAGTGTGGTTAGACATATGTGGCTTTTTATAGGGAGAACGCTTGGCAGGAAAAAAACCCACCACGTGCTGGAGTACTGCTGCCGAACCACTGGCTGGAACGGCATAATCTCGAACCACCCAGTGCCCACAAGCTAGTGCACAATTGTGCCGATCTTACAGTTCGCTTAATTCGCCATATGCGGCGAATGGTTGAGGTCCGAAAGCCGATGAACAAGTTTGACTGGATACACTTGATGACATGGCTAGTAGCCGAGCTCAATGGCGTTCGTGCTGTGAGTTTTTGTCCCGCTTAGCATCCCCCTCCAACCACGATCTCAGTTCTTAGCAAAATATAAAACAAAGGAAATGCAGCGGTAGAGATATGCACCCGTCGATTACAGCAAAGCTTCAGAAAGACCTTTAGTGTGGTTTTCATGAGCAGAACTTCACTAGTTCCGAGATTCAAAAACCGAGTGCCTGATCGTCTCCAACCAATGTCGATCTACCGGTAAGCCTAACCTTGTGGGGCCAGGTGCGTTGGAGGTACGACCAAGCATCTAGGTAAAAGAATCAATAAACACCTCCCAGGTTGGCTCTACAACCGCGAAAAAACGACAAACTACAGCGCAATTACGGACCATCAAATCAACACCGGACACCAGATAAACAAACTGCTTTTCAGATCCTCTGCAGAATACCGCCAAGGTATAATCATCGAGTAAGAGCAAGACTACTTGCCATCGCTGAAGCAGTATCCATACGCCTGAGAAAAAGGGACTTGTGTGCCCAGAAGATGGTACAAACATTGCAACTGCCGTGGCCGATCACCAGAGGAGAAGGAAGTGATGGCATTACGAAAATCTAGCTGACTTCAATCATGTCATCAGATGACTGCCATCATAATCACAAGTTAAATTTGCTGAGCAATTGTTTTCTTTGTTGTGCTGGCGATTGCAATCGACCTGACGCTAATGTATATCAATGTATAAGCCTGACGAAGAATTAATCGCAAATACTTGTTCGTTAAAGATTAGTGTTTTGTTTCTCTTTCCAAACTTGATGTAATAAACAAGCATTCTGCAAAAGTTGAAATTTTGTTCGCTGAAGGTGGAGGGAACCGGTAAATACTAAAGAAAGTAGTCTACCTTACTGATTCGGCAGATAGGTGGTAAAGCAGAGCAGGACGCATACTATAACAAAGTACTTCCAGTTACAACGAATAATACCTATCGATTGAATTGGCACGTGACAGGTTCAGTGAAGCAGTATCGACGAATGCAATCGAGGGTATCACTTAACGGTTTTAGAAGGTATCGAGCGAATTTAGATCAGGGAATGATGAAGTGGTGGATAAAATGCAACAACGATCTGTTCGTGCCAGCAGCTCACTGAGTCGTTGTAACAAGCACAACTAAAAAGGGAGAAATAGAAATTACCTTGTCGATGAAGTACAGTGCAACAGCCCGTTGACGAATTCGCATTTCCTTGTGCTTAAAATCGGCGCGGTAGTCCGCTCGAATACGATCAATAATTTTATGCAGACGACGAGCCGTTTCATATTTTTTCCAATCTTTCTCACCCTTAAGGAAATAAGCACAGATGATAGCTCAACTTACCTTAAGACGAGAGGATGGATTAAGCATGATATATTTGAAATTATTCTGTATATTTTCGTTCCAACAAGCCAGCCAAGTCACCTTATTGTCGTGTCGCACCTCTTTCCAGCGATGTCCTTTAGGTGGGACAGGAACTTTTGCATCTTTGGAACAGTTGATAATCACGTGTTCGGGTAAAGTGCGTCTCTTGAGCATCCCCATTTTTGGATGATTGCCACGCCCGCGGAACAAACCTGGAGGTTCAATGCGGAAATTTCCGATACGTTGTTTATGACCATCTAAGATACAATATCCGTATTCGTTTTGTATGGCCAAGTTTTCCTCCTTTAACTTTTGTTTCTCTTCTTTGGTGAGATTTTTTCGTTCCTCGGATAGTTTTTGAAAGTAAGCATGAATTTCCCTGAAATCACATTTGCTGAGGGATTTGATGGTGCGGCGCTCTTCTTCAGTCATGGTCTAAAGTACAGTAGATAGAGGTTAAGTGGAACATACCTTAACCCAGTCCTTAAAGAAATTATTGTTAAAGATATCCTTTGTGGTATATTCGTGGTCTAGCATACGACTGTAAAATCCGGCGACTTCCTCTGCAGCCTCCGACAGGCGCATGGGTTTTCCGTCATAATAAAAACGCACTGACTCCGGTAGCCGCTCATATGGCGAAGCGAAAACGGGTCCTTTATGTTCAAGGAATGTCCATTTCACTGTATCATCCTTCTTCTTTTCTTCCCACCATTTCCAAACCTCTTCTTCCGATTTTTCTGTTTTGGACGACCTATCGGTGGTGGATTGTTTTACGGGGGTTGTCGGATCTTGTTTAATTTTTGGCTTGTTGGGTTTAATTGATTTCTGGTTCCTAGAGTCGGCATAGGAAAAGGAGTCCTGTTGTGTGTGTAGGTATAAAGGAAATGTGGGCGTCTTACATGCGAATTCTCGAAAGGCTCCAACTTTGGCTTCTTCGACATCCGTTTCAACCTAGAAGCGCATGTAAGCGGGATGTGACGTACTTGACAGAGAGTGGAATGTCGTCGTCGTCATCGTCGCTGGAAGAAAGATGACTCCGACTGCGTTTTAGTTTTTCGGACAAAGGGAGATCTTCATCGGAGTCAGACTTTGCTGAACAATTGTGCACGCCATTCCCGATGTTCTGTGTGCTGCTTAAAACGCCAGTCATTTCTGAAAACGAAGGTAATCCGGTTATACGACATACAATAACCCGCTTGACTTGCTAAAGTGTGCAAACTGAAGCATCTGGCAGCAACTAACCAATATTTTTAGGGAACAAAAACGGTAAGTAGATGGTTTAAAATTGCTCGCCTGTGTACAGGAAAGAGTTAATTGTGTCACACAACTGGAAATAGTCAAACATCTAGTGAGAACGTCGGGAGCAGAAACGAGATTAGCTTGATGTTAGTGAAAATAACGGACAAAGATCCAACCAGAGGTGCAAATGCAATGCTGCAACACAAACAGTGAGGTCGTGGACAACGACGCAACAACCGTAGGGAAACTCAATAGCTCCGATCATTCATAGTGAAAAAGACAAAAAGATATAGGCTGGCAGTGATGCACTTAAAGTCAAATTAAATTGCTCTATGTGCGCAAGTCCAACAAGGAATACGTGAGGGTCAGTTGAAGAAAGGACATTGGAATAAGTGTGATTCAGTCTGACTCCCTTGGTCAACTATGATCGGGGCACAAAGCTGTGAGGGATCCAGTCGGTAAAACCGCGTCATAATGATAATAATAGTTAATACATGGGAAACGTGGAGATAAGCAAACAAGAAAAATAAAGAGAAAAAGTATGGCTGCTGAAGAAAGAGATGAAAAAGGGACATAAAAAGAGCCGAATACGAGGGCACCATTGACATGTCGTTATGCGCCATGCAGCAGAGGCTCTAATGAGACGGATGTGTCTCATCTCGTAAAACCAATCATTCTCGCTCGTCATGCAGACGCTTCGCCCAAACAAGTGAGCCATAGGTAAGGGATACAGGCATAGATGATCAACAGACGGTTGAAGGACGCAGCCGTCACAAGGTAGACTGTTAAATTTCAACAAATGATCTAACGCCGCATGACAGAGTACGTTGCAGTACAGTAACTTGACATCCTGACTAGATGGGCGTGATGCTCCTCGAAAATCGACGGTCGAAGACTGTTGTTCTAGCGCTTTTGATAAAGAGTGGTGCCATCATTGACAGTGGCCGCATTACAGCGCTGTGAGATCTGACCTTGATCGATGGCACAATACCAAACAACTGAGGTTTCGAAAAGCCCAATGAGCATTCCTGATAGGTGATACGGTCATCAAAGTGAAACGATGGAGTGCATGTTCAACAGTGGCGGCAACGGGTGGCAAATAAGTTCAGCCGTGAAAAAGTACTCTGAAGTTTGAAGGCGTGAAGCGTAAAGCGCAACTCGTCGGTGAATCCAGTAGCGCTCACATGGCAGCAGTGTCGGGCTAAGATAGAGAAACATCGCAGGCGCGGTTGATCGTAAAGTGATACATCTAGTCCACGAACATGCAGAAAAGCAGGTATTAGCGATGGTCTAACGAATAGACATAGAGCCGAACAAAACCATAGAAATCACTGGGAGACAGGCTTAATTACCGCATCATCGTAATGGTAAAGTAGCTGAAGGTGAGCAGCACACTTCAGTTATTGCACCGCAACAAAAGAAACGGAACATTTTTATTATTTGTACATGCCATTTTTTAATACTTTCCTTTTTCATGTGTTAAGCAATAAGCATTCGGAACAAAACAAGTGTGCAAGGCCATCCACTGGTTTCGATTGCATTCCATATCCTAAATGGTTTCCGGCCACCGGTACTCCTCGTCGTTTGATCCTCAAAATGACAGAGGTGTAGATCTAACGGAAGCAAGACATAAAGTCCTGCACGAGCGAAAAGGGCGTAAAGGAGCAAATGTTCAGCTGATATACGTAGGACGTGACCGAGCCATCTTAACTAAAGCAGCAAAACCAGCAGCATTTCCTAAGACGACGTCTGAATTCTGCATTGGAGATATGCTGTTGCCACCACACACGAGCAAACCTCCTCAAACACTCATCTACCCGAACAAACGGTCACGACTCACTGCCATATAGCAACACCGCCCGCATAGTAGCATTGTAAACACGACGCTTTACCAAGAGGGAGACATCTTGACGGTGCCCCAACTGTTGCAAGTTGACAAGTGCATACAGGGCTTTGGTGATGCGAAGAGAAATTTGCTTGCTGATAGCACCATCAGCAGACATGCAGCTGTTCAAGTATACAGAGCTAACAAGTTGTGCAAATGCAAGTGAGCACGGGAACGGGCGAGTGCCAATCCTGGAGCAGCACTTTGCATTTCCACGGAGCAAAGTATCTTCCGTACTTTGGTGCCTTAATCTCCAAGCGGATTAAGATGGTTTACATACTCCGCGAGTCGTCACCAAGGGGGAGAAAATGATAACTAGGAAAACCTAGGTACAACACGCTTGTTCTGTCTAAGTAGGGAGGTAGCTTCCTGCAAAAAGGCGCACAGCTTCAGTAGCAGTAGTATAAACTGCACGACGAAGATCGTGAAGTTGCTGATAGAAATCAACTGTCACCGAATCAGAGCTAGAGTTTGTAGGGGCGTAGGCCGCAATGACAAACAAGCACCGTTTGTTCCCGCGCGACTTCGTAACACGGAACGAACCCGCTAATCGAACAACGCACATCAGAGTGTTGACTGGGATCCAGTCAATCAGGGCTGTCTCAGCCCGGGGAGCCAAAACAATGCCGACGCCAACTTGAGCGATATTTGAGGCGGCATCATCGCCAGACAGGCGCAATAAGAATGTGCCGTCATTGTCGCATGTGGGGGATCGCAGAGTATGCACGGAGCTCAAATCTTGCACGTGGTTTTCTGCTTAACAGCAAATATCGATCGGTAGGGTCTCTAGTGTGCGGTCAAGTGCTGCCTGTTGGCCAATCTGAAGCAAAGTGCGCACATTGAGGCATGCCAGTCTTAGCAAGACAAGAGGAGTCCAAAGGGAAACGGATGAACTGACGCTGTCCGCTTGGTTGAACATGGACTTGTCGATTGGATTGGAGGAACGCCCTGCGACTGTGTAATTTGAAGCAAGAAGACAAGCGACTATCAAAGCAAGCTGGATAAGGGGTAAGAATTGGGGATTGAAAATAACGGGGGGATAAAAGTAAAGTTGGAGCGGGACGATAGGGATGAAAAAGAGCAAGGGGTATAAGAAGACTGGAAGGCCTGAGCAGTAGCATCCATATTGTGCTATCCACCCTGCTCGATGCAGCAGATAGGGCGCTGTTTATTAGCCTCTGTGGCGGCCAGAGCATCCGGAAATTGCTTAATAAAGGGTTCATTGCATTGCGTGGGCAGAATACTGTCAGGTTTCCCAGGTCTAGACAGGAGAACGATTAGAGTTCTCAGTCAAAGCCTTTGGTTCAAAAACCTGACCGCAAGGCAGCGGGTTTTGGCACTGGACTACAGAGAGCCCGTTTTATGAAATAAGGTGCCACCCTCATTCCAACCTCCAACCTGGAGGACCAGGAGGCTGAGTTTGTTTGGCTTCTAACCATTGACTAATCTGGTATGAGTGGCTCCGAAGGTGCAAAAGGCACCACCCAGCATAGCTCAATGGATCACTGCGGCACACAAATCATCGCACCACGGTAAGGTCCAGCCTCATTGCGATGGCACCCACGCCACATATGGCGGAGATTGCCAAAAGCACCTCGAGCTTTTGCTATACGGTTCGTAACCTCTTCTTGGATGACACGAGAGCTAATACAGCACCCCAAGTACATAAATTCCAAAACGACTCCTAGCTGATTACCAACGATGGTCAACGCAGGGGTGGGTCACTTCCAATCTTGGAGACCTTTGCACTTCGAGGGAGTAGAACATAGCCCAAATCAATTGACAGCGTGTGCTACTCAGTCCAGTGCAGCTTGGCACGTTTGGACGCTGTTGCAGATGAGAGCAATGTCGTCAGTATGCTCCAAGTCAAGAAGTCGTCCTGTTGGGAGCAGCTTCACACCTTGTAAGTCGTGTCCAGAGAACGCTGTTTCCATGACTTCGTCAGTAGCGAAGTTAAAGAGGAAAAGTCACAGTAGGCAACCTTGTCTCACACCGCGAGTATATTGAAGAGAGGCGACAGTTTGCCATAAACACCCACTATGCCCGAAATTTGCGCGTACACCGCTCTGATAATGTTTGCGTGTTTCTCAGGTACACCTTTCCTGAGCAGACAGTCCCAAATGGCACATCGATCAACCGAAACGAAGGCACCTTCGATGTATAGGAACACCAATCCGGTTGGTCGCCAGTAAATATGACGATGCTCCAACAATTGACGTAAAGTAAAGATGTCGATGAACCCACGATTTCGACGAAATCCGGCTTGCTCCTAGTAATTCTGGCTAGCATGAATGCTAGTCTGTGGAGGACGATAGACACAAGTAATTTAGAGGCAACTGAGATCACACTGATCCCTTTATGATTTCCGCATTCCGAACAGGAGCGTCCCTTGGCAATTGAGACTATGACGGAGCGACTCCAGTCTGATGGGACAGCTTCCCACTCTCTGTTTCAATTACAACTCGTGTAAATTTACAAGGTCCGCCGCATTGGAAGAGGGCTGGAGGAGTTCTATCTGCCCCTGCGGCCTTATTCAATTTTAAGTAGATCTCACCTTCGATTTCTGTGCGTAAGGGCGGATCTATGGGGACGGCTCAGGGAGTAGAGCGATCAACGGCCAATGGAGAAGGTGATAATGCCGACTGATTGAACTGCTTCTGAAAAGTGACCGGCCCAACGCTGCCAGCGCTTTGACACGTTGCGGATAGGCTGTTCACTCCCGTCGTGTATGGTCTCGCAAACCCCAGATCTCTTGCTGCCAATGGTTACAAACGGCAGTGGCTGTCCTCATCTCCGAGGCGCGATGAGATCACTAGGTTGCGCGGTCCCCCCCCCCTCGGGCTAACACACAGTTCTACTCTGATTTTTGTGGGTCTCATTATGTTCGCTTCCAGCCGGAATACGTCGGTGAGCATTCAGAATTTCCGGAGACTGTGTAGAGACCCAATGCCCAGGTTGGGAATTTGAGATGTCACATGATGACATGCCAGCTGGTAGTAACGTATGGCGAATGGGCGATCAGTGATCT